GCTTAGTGATTTTCAACTGAGAAAATATCATTCCGTGACTTGGGATGTATGGCTGTTTATATTCAAAAGGCATGGGCTGGGCAGATGGCTCAGTATACCTAGCTCTTGCAGAAGATCCTAAATTAGTTCCCAGCACCAATATCAAGTAACTCCAATAACTCCAGCTCTGAGTAGGTCACCACACTTACATGCACACACATACACAAGAGCATACACTTAACAAACAAACAAAAACCTTTAAGAGCAAATGTATAACTAGTCCAGTGTGGTGGCACACACCTATAATCCCAGCACCCATGAGGCTGAGGCAGGAGGATCAGGAGTTTGAGACTTCTCTGGGGCACAAAACTAACTAGGTCTGTTTGATCTGTTCAGCCCCAGTGTCTACCGCCTTGGCCCATCACCAGGTGACCTCACTGAAGAAGACGTTCCCTCCTTTCCTGATCAAGCCCTGGAAACACCCAGTGACTGCTCCAACCAAGGGGCAGTTCCACAGACAAAGCTGACCAGGAAGTGCTGGGAATGTGTACTCTGCATTCTAGAAATATCTTTGCCTCCTGGACTTGAACCTCAACCAAGAAGACTTGCTATCTGTCTACAGTAGACAAAATCTAGCCTGTTCCCAACTGCTCAAGGCCACTCTGCCCAAGATAATTACAGTAGAGCAAGGCAGCAGCCTTGGATAAGTGTGACACACAGAAAGCAGCTCCTGTATTCCTGGCAGCTACAGCTGGGTGAGAGGGGAGCTCTGAGTCAAGGCTGTCCAGTGGGAGGGCCATCGACTGTGGTAACTGCTTCCAACTAGGGTGGTATTAACCATCACAGGTTTCCACCGGTGGAGTCCCTGACCTGCACGTGGGCTGACACTGCCACAGTCCCCTTTCATGCTTCCACAGCTTTGTGAAGCTAGGATATGAAGATACAGAAAGGCAAAGAGATTCTGCATCACTTTTACAAGGTGTCAAAATTGCACAGAAGCTTGGGGACTCCGAATGGCTGACTTAAGATCACAGGACATAGCATGCTGGGGAAAATCTATTTCCCAGTTAATAGGGTGTTTGGCTCCTGTAGCTTATTTCCTCCTCACAGCGCAAGATCAACACCCACCAGGAAAGACAGCTGAAATCAAATCAGTAACATACTCTCAGGAGAAAGGAGGGACCGTGGAGAGGCTCTGGGGATAAGCAGCCTCTCTTTTTTCCAACTCTGGCTAAGGGGGTCCCGTCTCCTCAATATGGACATCTCTCTTCGCATCGTGAGCTATTTCTGATGATTTCACACTTTATAATTACAAAAACCAAGAGACAAACATCTTTCCTTTCTGGAATAATCCAGCAACTGCATGGCCAAGCTTCACCTGGTTAGTGAGTTATATTTCTCCCTCCTGGAAATGCTGGATCAACACTGTAAATTTCCAATGAAATCAGACAGAAAGGAGCAGCAACAGGAAGCATGTTTAGAGAGACACAGAAGTTTCTGGGCCATCCTAGAGGTGGTTAACAAAGTCACTCAAATGCCTGATTCAAAGTTTAAGAAGGAATCCCTGCAGATGTAGCTTGTGGGTAGTGACCTTTCCTAAAGTGCACAGAGTCCTGTGTTCAATCCCCAGAACCACAAACTAAAAAACTAATCTATGGGGAGGAAATGGATGGGATTATTAATGTCACAGTGTGTGAATGTATTCTGGCAGAGCCTACATTTATATTTACATGGAATAAAGAAACACATATGCAGAATTCAAAAACAAAATGCTAAAACACACATGGGAGAAGAGACTTGAAAACCTCCCTCCCCCCCTCCCCTCTCTCCCTCCCTTCTGTGTCCCTTCCCCTCTCTCCCTGCTTCTCTCTCTCTCTCTCTCTCTCTCTCTCTCTCTCTGTGTGTGTGTGTGTGTGTGTGTGTGTGCGCGCGCGTGCGTGCGCGTACGCTTATAACTGTCTGTCTGCGTATGGAAACCAGTGGCTCTTATACACCAGGGAAACACTCTACCACTGAACTATACTTCCAGCCCTATTTCTTAGTTCCTTTCCCTAGAAAACCCAATAACTCATTAAGAAAATGAACAATAAAGCCATCTATTAGAGACAGAAAAAAGGTCTTTTTATTCATACTCTCTGCACTTGAACAGCAATAACAAAAAAATCTTTCCAAAGTACAGGGTGAGTACCCCTTATTTGAAATTAGGTTTGTTTTCCTCCCCCTCCCCCAAATTTTAAAGAAATATTTGCATAGACCAAATGAGATCTCTTAGGAATGGCACTGAAGTCTAAATATGAAATTTGTCTAATCTTCACCTCTGTCTTGTACAACAGCTTCAAAATAATTTAACACAGCCTCAAGATCATTTTCATACAGGCAGAAAGCTTCACACAGGAGGTTGGAGGTGTGACAGACTTTTCCACATGTGTTATCATGCATGTGCACAAAATGCCTTGGATTCTTGAGCTTTTTGGATGCTTGAATTTTAGATCTGGAATGCCTGTGGTTTGAGTCCTGCGCTGGATAGTTGGCCTCCAGTGGGGCCATGTTAAGAGGTGGCGGGATCCTAAGGAGTAGAGATTGGCATCAGCCTCACTGGCGATCTTAGAGGGTTCTCATACAGTGAGGTGCCTCTCTATGCTCTGCTTCTATGCTCTGCCATGTGAGTGTCCCTTCACATAAGCTACTGTTACTATGACATCATCCACCACAAGGTACCCACCGGAGTTGAACCAACTCCTAGTATCAGGCCCTGGAGCCTCCAGCACTATGGTATAAAGCTGTCTCCTTAATAAGTTGCCCTCCCCTCAGGCATTTGATTACAACGTCAGAACAAAGACAATGCAGAATACTCAGCCTGCACTTACCTAATACACTTCACCACTCAACTACTTCCAGAGAGAACATTAAGGAATAAACCCATGCCCATGCAATTTCTCACCCATCAACCCTCTATATCCATCACTAAACAATCAATTAACCAGAACCAGAGTGCTTTCAATGTAGGTCCAAGCTGATCAATGGAGGCCACAGGGATGACAGCTGTATCCTTTCCCTCCCAGAGCGCATGATTTAGGGGCTCAGAGTTACTGCTCTCATCAACTAAGTCTGAAGAGATCAAAAGATCACCTTCAATATGGGCATACCGTCCCAAGGGCCAGCAGTAAGTGTCCGGGCAATCCAGAAGGGAACATTAAGGATTAGTTTCTTTAGAAGACCCATTATGGGGGGTGGGGGGGAGACACAAATGAGGCTTTGAAGGTTGGGCAGGTAGAGAAATACCACACACTTTCCCAACAAAGTGTTAATGATCTAAGGTTATGATCTATCCTGGAATATACAGCTGTGAGTGGAATGAAATACTGCGTGAACTCTTAGGACTGGTGCTGGAATGGGATCTGGTTGCCGCTTGAGTTGTGCAAGGACAAGAATGGGGGTGTGACTGAACCGTAGTCAGACCGGCTGCACAAAGAAGAGAATGACTCCCAGGTCCAGCTATCTAGCACACAGATGTCTAGTCAGAGAATATATTAATCACCAGACGACTTCCTCGTCACCCAAAGAAGCCTGGAAGTCCCCTATAGAGGCGAGACCCACCGGTGCTCATCAAGAAGGTCTGCAGAGAGGCAACATTAGAAAACAGCCCATGGGTTCCAGTGTTAAGGAGGTTTTAGACTGGAGAAGAGTCTGCCAGGCTGGCAATGAACTTTGAGTTCATTTCTGTTCTGACGATGTTAAATGCTGGGAGTCCCAAGCCTTAGTTCTAGCATTACAGGGCAAGAGTGTTTTAGAGAAAAGATGCTTCTCTACTCAGTTTAGAACAAAGCTAAGGAGCTAATATGACAATGGCTTTCTAGGCAGAGAACAGCACATGGTGACACCCACAGTTTGCACATGTGTCTTCTGGTCTCTCTCCCTCTTCATATGAAGCCACTGGAATTCCATCATGAGCCTCCACATTAATGTTCCTACAGCATCCTGGAATTCCATCATGAGCCTCCACATTAATGTTCCTACGGTCTCCTAGCCACCTCCCAAGTCTTCTCCTCTAGACAGTACAATGGGATTAAATTTCCACCCTTGGAAGATTTTCTTTCTTAATCCTATTATTTATTCACACGAGGCAGGGCATACATGCCACAATATGTGTGAGGAGGTCAGAGGACAACTTAGAGAAATTGGCTCTCTCGTTCCATCAAATGGATCCAGAGGATCCAACCAAGGTAGTCAGGCTGGGATACAAGTGCCTTTCCTTGATGACCATCCCTTGATCCCAGCCTTCCTCCTCTTAATGCCGCGCAATGGACTAAACTCTAACATTAACTTCAGAAGGGGCAAGTTACATTTAAACCACAAAATCCCAGCTGTAATACATGCAATACATATGTAATACATACATGTATATAACACACACACACATGCAACTCATGATTATGGCTGTTCCTGTGCTGATGTGGTTTCCCACTGAACTAGCATTTCGCGTTCTGAGGTCAAAACAGTGAGGGAGAGAGAGAATACTGAACTAAGCCTGACCTCAGCTTTCCACTATATGGTTTGGAGTTTGCAAGGTCCACTTGTCATGGTTATGAACGCACCCCACCCCACCCCACCCCAACCCCAGAAGGCTGATCACTGTGACATTTATAAATGTCTACCCATTGGCATGCATGGAGATGATAATGGCAAATGCCATGGGTTCAACTACATCTTTTTTTATAGCCATGCGGTGAGGGTTCATGGTTCGAGGCAGGCACCGAAGAAGGCCTTGACAAGCATTTGCAGTTATAACTCACTATTACTTTCACAATCAGCAAAAGTGAATTAACGATCACACCCACTTCCCTCTATAATCCCATTATCATCAGTGGCCCAACTCTGGGGAGATGAGAAATCAGCTGGCTTCCAGCATCACGGGATCCAGGGGAAGACTCATCCATTCAATGCATAAAATGGTTCTATAGTCCAACAGTCAGACTGAGATCCAGGAATAGAACCCAGGGGGAGCCCAGGGGGAAGCTTACCACATAGAGCTTGCGCCAGATGACAGCCCATTCTCGTAGAGTATTCGTGAGTTCCTGAACCAGTGGCAACTCCCCAGGAATTACAGTCTCGTGCTGCCTGCAGGGAAGCAAAGAGATGTTACACTTGACTGCACATGACAGGACCTGCCACTGCTGACCAACACACTCTTGACAATCAAAGGCAGAAATGTGGCTGCTGTGCTTTGAAATAAACCCATCTGCCTCTGAAGGGGTGTATAGTTTGGAGAACTTGAACACGGCTAAAGTGCAAGGAACTGAAAACAGTACAACCTATAGACTAAACTAAGTTTTTGCATGGCACAGGCTAAGTCTAGACCCCACTTCCCCATGATCACTCTCTCTGAAAGTGCCTCTGACCAAGCCATGAAATTAGCTGGTTCTACTGGGCAGATGCTCCATTTTGTAAAAGTACATGCCATGCGATCTCACCCAAAGACCTGCTTGCAAAGATTGATCCATGCCCTCTTCTAGAGAAGCCTGGGTTTTCTTCTCATCTGCTGCTTCCCAGCACACAAAAAAATAGAGGCAAAGCAATATCCTCACTCACAGAAGGCTTAACTGCATTTACTCACCTAAATTATCCCTGGTGTCAACAGGAGAAAGACAGCAAGGGCATATAAATACACAGGGGAGAGCAATAGGACCACCGTGTGAACATGCAAGCATAGTATGTAGCTAAGTGTGAATTTCAGGTTGGGTAAGGCAACACAGTATTAGGGCAAATATGACCCATGACACATCTGTTACATGCTAACTTTGGAAATCGCAGGTGGTCCCTGACTTAGGAGAGTCTGATTTTGCAATCTAAGATGGCTGGGAAGTGTACAGTCACAGGTTCTGGCTTTCCACTTTTGGCACAGTGGTGAACATATTACATGAGGCCCACGTGCTACTCTATCCTACAACAGACTTTGGGTTAGGTGATTCTGCCCAACTGTCAGCTAAAGTAAGTGTTCTGAGTACAGTGAAGATAGCTGGGCTGGGCGATGTTTCATAGGTTAGGTGAAATAAATGCATTTCTTGTTGTCCTTTTTATTAGCATATATTAACTGTATAAAATGATGACCATTCCTGTGACGCCTATTTGTGGCATTTTTAACTCCAGTGGGTTTATAAGGATGTAACGACATCACAAGTCCAGGAGCATCTCTATCTTCTGAGTAACAGTTAACTGGGCATCCTGCCTTTCATCTGGCAGATCTAGTTAGAACAGGGCTCCTACGTTGCCTTCAAGGCTGCTCAGAAATGGCCCACTGGGAAGAGGATTCCTCTAGGAGGCAGAGAAGAATAGTACCGGGTGCTGGTTCTGCTGTGGACAACCTGCAAGAACTTGGGCATGTCTCTACTTCTTGTCTTAAAATATGGGTGCTGAGTGTAGGGCTTATAAAAAATGTTCATCTAGCTCAGAGGTCCTGGGATTCTGTGAGAGCCTCCTTGGTACCAGCCGTGGATCCAAGTTTTACTTTCTTAATTCTCCCTTTCCTACTTTGTGTGCCCTGTTTTCCTTAGCTGCTACAGAGTCAGTTCTTTTGAAGAACAAATGACACTACCAAGATAAATAACTATTTGATATTGAAATGGATTTTAACTACACAGTGTCCCTAGGACCTCACCCCAAGCCCACCATCAGTGCCTTCCTCCAGGAAACTGTGAAAATTCGGAGGTGTACTTGCAACTAAGTGATGTATACAAGGTTCCAAGGTGAGGAGGGCCAACAGATGCTCTCCTTCACAGGTGTTCACATGAACTCACATTCACCCACACAGTGAGCAGTTAGTGACTCCGAGGGGAAGTGGAAGGCCCTCAGAGTTCATCCCTGCTCTCTTTACTATTCTGGGGAGCAGTGTCCAGGAGGGACAAGTACAGAAAGAGAAAGCAGAAGGAGGACCTATATGAGGCAAGTGGAACCAATGAGACAGGACATCAATGGGTGTAGGGCATTCCTTCTTTCCTGACTATCTTACGTCTTCATCACTTTTTAGTGGTCTTCCTGGACTGGAACTTACCCTCCATCTTCCACAGTTGCCTCTTTCAAATGGATGTATGTTTCAGGAAAAATACCCTACAGAAAGAGAACTCTAGTTATACAGCCATTAAAAAACAATCTCAAATTCAAGAGCATAAATACTTCAAGGAAGGCTATTTTGTCAAGGGAATTCCAATTGAGTTTGCAGGGCATCCCTTATGATGGCCATCTACAGTTCAACAAAGGAAGGATGGAAATACTGAAAATATGGAAATTAAGATCTGGGCTCAGGTTGAATAAGATGTTTTGAAAATAAAAAGCCAAAATGCCCCATCAGCTCAGAGACCCAACAATGGCAAGGAAGGTAATACTGAGAAAATCTGTACAAAGCCAACATGCCACTAAAGGGCCCCTCACCTTGAGGGAGATGGGCTGCTAACATTTTAGTAGCTTCCTACAGTAGCTCCTGTCAGCACTTTCATTGAAGACCAATTGTAAATCATCAGTTATCTAATCATTTTCGTCACTTCATAGTCTTCAATTGTTCTCCTTTTATAATCCCAAGAGGCACTGCTATGCCAGTATTATGACATTGCTCATGAGCAAAAAAAAAAAAAATTTTTAAAGTCCCAAGGGAAGGACACAAAACCACTGGGTGGGAACTAGAGAGCTGCAGAAAAGATTTCTCAATAGGAAAGAACCATCCACAGAGTTCTCTTGAATGCCAAAGCTTATGTCTCATTGCACAATATGCTCTCCATATGCCCCAGGGAGAAGGAGCCATTGAGACATGGTTGAGAATTGTTTACATGGCAGAGTAGATGAACTAGCTGGCATCTTGGCTCAGTTACTCCTCTTGGGAGGGCTCACATGATCTCAGTGGATATTAACTGTCACGGCTGCTGACCACACAAGTGGTAGTGGTGGTAGAGATAGGCCCCAGTCCATAGCACCATAGTTCAAAATGTGCACGCACCCAGCAATCCTTAACAGGACAAGAAGCCAGGGAACTCGGACAGCCGCTGCGTTTGTAGCCAGTTTCATGCACTGTATTTGTCTCTACCATGCTCTGTCTTTTTCATCCTTTGCCAATAAAACAGGAAAAGGCCAGAACATTGGGAACTAAGCTGATCTCAGCATAGGTGATGACAGAGGAGCCCTGCAACTGCTTTAGGCAAAAGCCAAGGGCACTATCTCTTCAACCAGACAGGGCGATGCACTATGAGAAGGCACTGTTCCAGTCCCTCTACTGATGAGACCACCAACACACACTACACTACACCACACACACACACACACACACACACACAGAGAGAGAGAGAGAGAGAGAGAGAGATGAGGTGACCTTGAGTTTCTTCAGGTGCAAAGGATGCAGAGTGACTGGGGGAGACCGATTAATCAGCAATAAAAACAAACACAAATTCAATGTAATACTGAGGACACCAAGGCAATGTTGACTTCTAAAAGAGGAACAGCTATGATGGTGATATGGCGAGAGCAACAGTAACTAGCAATCCCCTTCACATACCAGACACTATCATAAGGGGTTTTTCATGAGTTAGTTTTCATTGTTCATTTTAACCACAGGATCAAACCATGATCAAATACTTGACCATTTCAGAACCTGCCCAATTAGAGAACGTTTATGTAGAATATTTCTCTGTTTTTATTCTTAGCTTTATTTAATTGATAGCATTTGAATGTCTTCTTCCTATTGAAATTATTTGGAAACAGTCGTATTTTTTAATCTAAGGGAGGAAAAAAAAAAACCTTCATTGACACATAATGCTTGCCTCTACATATGAGGTACAATGTATAATAATGGGAGAAGGCATAACCACCGACTTAAAAGGAAGCTGGGTTTGGAGAGGTAGATCACTGGGTAAAATACTTCTCATGCAAGCATGAGGACCTGTACTTAATCCCCAGAGCTCACACAAGCTGGGCTCAACAGTCAAGCTTGTCATCTCAGAGCTAGGGAGGCAGTGACAGGCAGAACCCTGGGACTTGGTGGCCAGCCAGCCAGCCAAGTGGAGACAGTGTGTTCCAGGCCAGTGAGAGAACTTGTCTCAAAAAATATCATGGAACCACATACTGGAGCTGACTGTTGGCTTCCACATGTACACACACACACACACACACACACACACACACACACACACACACACAGGCACATTAAAAGAGCGAAGAACTCTTGACAACAGAAAAGGGGTTGGATAGAAGTGATCAGCTTAAAGCCGCAGTTATGGGCCAACAAAATGGCTCTGTGGGTGAAAGTGCTTGCTGCCATGCCTGACAACCCTAGTTTGAATCCCTGGACTCACACAGTGGAAGGAGAGAATTGATTTCTGTAGGTTGCCCTCTGACCTCCACATTCAAACTATTGCACATGAGTATGCGTGTGCACACATGCATAAGCACAAAAATAGATGAAAGTACTAAAAGCTCTTAAGTATACATTAACATAGTAGTTACAAGTTTAAAATGAGCTATACCATTGCTGAGGCTAGGTGCACAGCTCGAAAGTAGGGCACGTGACTAAGATGCGTGTGGTTTAATACTGAGAACTAAAGAAACAAAGACAAAACCCCCAAATGGAACACTGTTAATGCAAAGGAAAATTCTGCAAAATATTTTTCAAATCAAGGGGTTTATTTATTTATTTTTTTATTTTGTTTTGTTTTTTTTTAATTTGAATGTATAGTCTGTCGAGTGATCTGCGCTAAGCCCTGGGAGCCAGCATTGATAGGTCCTCAGAAACAAACAAATGATGGCTGTAAGGCACTGATGCTGCCCATGGCAGATGATTTACACAGGTGTGCAGGCACAGAGGTGCGGATGCCCAGAGCCTGTTCATTTTGTGATCTCACTGCTCTGGTGTCTGCAGCAGCATCATGTCCTGGTGGCACTGGGCTGTCCATGGTCATTTGGTTTCTCTGGGAAGGCCAGAGCCAACAAGAGACTTACAATTTCTGATGTCTCTCAGTTCTGCCTTCCTTTTTTTCTGGTTTTTTTTTTTTTTCAATGTAACCTGCTCAGTTGAATAAATTCCAACTAATGATTTTTCTCTATGTTATCCTGTCCTGCCAAGATTAATGACCAATTTCTTTGAGGCTCTAGTTTTTCTCAATTTGTAAAGCCACCAACTTCCTTTTATCACCACTCCAAATGGCTAGGTAGGCTTATAAATGACACCAACAATTTCCACGAAAACAATTGTCCTTTCAAATAGCTTTTCCCCTAAGACAGGAAAAGGAGGGGCCAGCATAGAAGAGGCTGTCTATCAGGCTGCATCTCTTAATGAAGGGGTGTCACACTCAACAAAATTCAAAACTGATGCCTTTAATTCCATCTTTGTTTCTTGGATCTCCACAAAGAAAGATCATTTAGTTAAAAAAAAAAAAAAAAAAAAAAAAAAAAAAACAGTGCACAGTCACTGTGCCAAATTCTGTTCATGCTTTTCTTTATCTTTATCAAGGGACAGAGGAGCTCTTACCGAAATAGTTTTCTCCAAAGGGTGAAGTTTTTAAGCTTACAGATTTTAAGAACAAGAACAACAACAAAAAAACCCAGCAATGTTACAAACACATACATAGACAGTAACTGAACCATCTAGTATTGCAGTCAGACCAGAGAGAACACTAGATACATGGATGCAGATATATCAGGAAAACACAGAATGTCTTTAAACGGAGGCCTTCTATGCTGGAACAAATCCTAATGTAGGGTAAGGGTCTGGAACCTTGTTTTAACAGTACCTACTGGGTTTGGTTGTTGTTATTGTTGTCATTGTTATTGCAGTGATAGTGGTGAAATCAAACCCAGGGCCTCTTGCATGCTAGGCAAGTGTCTGACATTCAAATAATTTGGAAAACAGGGCACTGATAAGTTCCTCGGGCTTGCCTCAGTCTCCTGTGTAGCTGGGACCAGGAGTACACCACAGGCCCAGCTGTCCTTCGGACTGCATATGATTTGTCTGAGACATTTTCTGTTCTCCCTTTTACATAATAAATTACAAAAGGAAAGGACTGAGAATCAAGTGGCCTGGGTATTCTTTGTCTCTCACAAATTCAGAGCAAAAAAGTTTAACTTGTAAAGCCGTCTAGGGTGGGCGGCCATAGAACTCTGGTGGAGGTCAGAGGTCAACTTTCAAGAGTCGGTTCTCTCCTACTGTGAGATCCCAGGATTAACTCAGGTCACTGGGTCTGTATGGCAAGTACTTTCACCTGCTGAGCCATCTTGTCACCCAGAAGTGTTAACTCCTACTGTTTTCTGAAAACTCAACTTCCACAACTGTGAGTAAAAATAACTACTAACAGGGCTAAACCCACACACAGCAGGAGTGGGCATGCCAGGCATCAGCTTCCCTGAGGCCTTCAATCTAGTCCTATCATACTCTCATCACGCCAGCACATCTGACTGCCACACTAGTCTCTACTGGAACAGAGGGGATGCTGAAGTCAGCAAGAAAAGCAGTGAAAACAACTCAGTTGGAAATGGCATGTGGCACAGGACTCTGACTGGGGGCAGAAAAGCTTAGCCGCTAGGGCATGGCAGGGACAAGTGAACTCACACCAGGGAGACTTGGCACCTGTGGGGACAGCAAGGCTTCCTTTGTTTTGTTAGGTTAATGAAACGGTCAGAGTGAATAAAGGGTGTGTATACACAAGTGTGCAAACACTAAGACTGAAGAGTCATCAACTGCAGTCACACTCTCCTTTGGGTTTCTGTGACCTCTACCTAGCAGGTAGGCATTTGAAGGCTCTAGGTTCTTCTGAGATTTGGAGGTTTCACAGGCCAACCTACATGGGACTACATCTGGCCCATGATGTGGTCAAAGAGTAAGAAATGTGAGTTTTTTCTACCCTTTCTGCCCTGATAAATTTGTTTGTCTCACCCTCTGCTATTGGCACATGAGCTAACTATGAAATAATAAAGCCCTATCAACTTTGTTCTTGCTAAAGAAAGTGCTGGCACATTGCACTGCCCCAGCAAGCAACATCAAAGGAAAAGTGCTGATCGGGTCTAAAGCAAATCCAGGAGCATGTTAACATAGCTACTGCCTTTCGTTAGTTGATGATGAGCTGCCCTGACAACTGGGAAAGGAAACCAAACAGGCCAGTGTTTCTCAAACTCTGCCTGAATCATAAGAAACACATTTATAGTCCAGTACCAAACAAAAAATACAAAAGGCATGAACCACATAAACATTAATACCTGAGGTAAATTTGTTCATAAGTGTCTGTTGCTCAGCTTTGTTTTCTGTTTACCGGAGTTGTTTATACTCTACTAAAATAACTCCATGTTACACCATGGGCCTCACAGACTGAAAATACTACTCTGGTTTGATGGGATGAATCAGGTGACCGGCAGTGTCTGTTCAGGCAGTGTAGAATTGGATATAAAGGACACAGGGAAGTAGGTCCTGCCCCTTCCTCCTTGACAGAGGGCCCTACAACACTGGCAATGTCCTACTGCCTTATTTGGCTTCAAGGGTAGACAGCAGGAAGTCTGGGGTCTTCTCTTGAATCAAGTCCCAGGAAACATGTCCATGGAACTTACCCTATTCTTCTTGAGCACTGGGGCCAAAGTCTTTGTTTTCAGATTAAAGGAAGAGTCATCGAAAAGAAAGCAAACTAGATCTAGAGATAACTAATAAAGGGATCCCACAACACAACAGAGAGCTAGTGGACAGTCAAAGTAACTAAGAAATGGAGCAATGTGCCATACCTTTTTAGATTTGTTCTGGAGAGCATATCCTCTGTACCAGCCTGGGAAGGGGAGAACACAAAGACATGTTTATGTTTTCTGGGAGAACAAAAAAAAAAAAACCAAAACATTAGCAACATACATTCCCATGATCTACCAGCAATACTGAAATGGAAACCAAAAGATCAGTACCTATGAAGCCATAGATGGGCAGTTCTCAATCTGTGAGCTGTGGCCCCTTTGGGGGTCAAATGACCCTTTCACAGGGGATGCCTAAGATCACTGAAATACACAAATACTTACAATACGATTCATAACAGTAGCAAAATTACAGAATGAAGTAGCAATGGGAATCATTTTATGGTTGGGGTCAGCACAATATGAACGTTAGGAAGGTTGAGAACCACCGCCTTACACTGAACCATTCCGCTTCTTACAGTGAAGACCTATTTTATAGCCACACTCTCTAACTAACCGCAGGACTTAAAATCTGCACAGAGGGCTCTGAGGAGATGACTTGGCAGTTAAGAGCACTTGACTCTCATTCATGCTGTGGTTCTTTAGGTTGGGGTTCTTATGGGACTCCTAACAGTGGGAGTGGGGGTACCTGTGACTTTTGCCTGCTCTTGGCACCCTTGCCTTTCTACTGGGCTACCGCACCCAACCTCATATCAATGAGGGTTTATGCCTAGTCTTACTGTATCTTGTTATACTGTGTGTTGTTGATATTCCTGGAAGGCCTGTTCTTTTCTGAAGGAGCAGAGAATGGGGATGGGGGGAGGCGGGGGCAGGGGTGTGTGTGTGTGTGTGAAGGAAGGAGAAGCTGAGGTCAGGATGTCCTGTATGAAAGAATATGTATAAAAAACAGATATCAACCAGAAAATGTCTCATTAATCTGTGTTTTTATATGTTAGAAGTAGAAAATTGAGTTTGCCTCTTTGGTTACAGATTGAACACCACTTTCACAAATTTTAAATTGTCCCCGAAACTAAAAACTATAAAGAATTTGCTATGTGTTGCAGAGAGTGTGTGAGTAGGGCCTTGGTATGGAATTACAGTCTGCATCAAGGCTACATGGTTAAGAAAAAGATCCTTCAACAGAAATACCAGCCTCAGTTTAGGAAGCCAATGTGCAGGCAATTAGGTTAGGCTAGAATGCACTGAACATTCCTTGTTCTGCTAAGATATGAAAAAAGTTTTTTGTGAATGGCTGGCTTTGGTGTCACCCTAGACCAAGGGCAGAGCTGGAGGCCATGCTGAGAAAGAGTAATTGAAGCAGTTTTTATCTTTTAAGTCGTATAAAACTAAGAAGTCATAATATATAGACTTGGACCCGCTTACCAGGAAGAATGTATCTGTGCGACTGTAAATGGAGCTTTACTCATCACAAAATTATGTTTCCTAAACCTGTCATCTTGTGGGGGAAAAGATTTCCATGTAACCCTTCTACCTTATCTCGAGAGTCATGGTCTATGTATAATTGCTAGGGGAAAAAAAGTATGAAATTATTATTCTGGATTTGTCAAAGTGAACACTCATTTTCCTTGGCAGCAAGTACCGTAAGCACCTAATCGACAACTGGGAGCTTGATCGCATTCCTACTGTCAGAACTCTAAGAATGCAACTACTAATGATTGCTAATAATTCCCAAGGCTATGGTCACAGGTGTTTGCTATTCCTACATCATGAAACTGGCTTGCAATGCAAACAAGAACACAGTTTTCCCACTAATTTCCAATACTTAGTGTTAAGTGATCATAATTGGAGTTTACTGTTAGGCTTCGGAACACATCATGATGCGAAGAGGCAGTGAGTGGTATATCAAGAGTGTCTATAGTCAAGCAGAGAACTGGGAGTATGAAACGGCCAGTATGTTCCGAAACTATCATGTAATCACAACTAGAGGAAAAGTGGGGCACAGGCAGGCCAGAGGGTAAGTCTTAGCTACATTTTAGTCAAATGAGTCCCCAGAAATAAGGTTCAGCCACTGTGGCAAGATGGGTTCACTTCTAGGGTAAGAAGTCATTTTTCAGTTACTTGGGGACTGTCCCCAGTCTCCTCTCATTTGAAACTACCCAAATTCCCAAGGCCACAGGCAAATTTACTCTCTTTACCTAGCCCTATATAATCACCATCAGTCAAGACTCGACCATCTCAGCCAAGTGGTGCTGGTTCAAGCCTTTAATTCCAGCACTCTGGAGGCAGAGGCGGGCGGATCTCTGTGAGTTCAATGCTAGCCTGGTCTAATGAGTACCAGGACAGACTCCAAAGCCACATAGAGAAACACTATCTGGAAAGACAGAGACAGACAGACAGACACAGAGGGAGACAAAGAGACAGACAGACAGAGACAGATGGGGGGGCAGGTTTTAGCATCTGCCCATTTCATCCACCTGTCCCTTGAGCTACTTTCTGGCTTCCACCTAACAGGTATCTGTCCCTACCTGTGGTAGTTGAACAAATACTAAACCATAGAGAGCAAGTGTTGGTTATCATGTAGATTATATAAATGAGCTGAGCACACAGAACTAAGATGACGAGCTCAGAGGTTAACGTGCATTGTCTGGGGATACGGGAAGTTAGATTAGATAAGATGATCAAAAACAGTTCACTCTGAGAAACTAAAAGGAACCAGGCCGGAAAATGACAAGGAAAGAAACTTCCATACAGGAGCAAATCCAGTGAGAAGGCTATGAGGCAAGAATTCTGTCCAAAGACAGAAAAACCTCAAGGTGAGAGGGCCACACCATGGTGGGGAGAGGGAATGTGGGTCTCCATTCTGGGCACCCACTGCACTCGCCAGGGAAGCTTATAAAACACTGAAGGCTGGGCCACCTCCCCAGACAGTCTTATTTAATCAAGCCTAGACTCAGAGCTTCTCAAAGGATCCTGGGGACACTAACACACAGGCAGAAGTGTCAGCCCAGGCAAAAGTGTCATGTACTTTTGTGGAATCGGAGCTTTAGCCTAATGGTAAGCATTGGAGGGGAAGAGGGTGCTTAAATGCATCATGACTTGTGCTTAGAAAAAACAAAACAAAACCAAAAATTGCTACAGAAGACTGGACAGGAGAGATGAGAAATAGTAGAAACAGGGAGAATGGTGGGTACATTGAAAATGGGAAGTGATAAGAAGACTGAGAACATGTTTAGAAGCAGCTTGAGTTGCTCATGGCTTCACTAGCAAAGAGCAAGAACGGAAGAATGGTACATAGTGTTACTCTATGGTATAGGAAGAGTCTTAAAAGGAAAACCTTAGGGAATGGAAGAAGGAATGGTCAATGTACCCTGACCCTTGAGCTTCCCTCCCTGAACAATTGAGTCCTACAGGAATGACATGGAAAAATGCACATGTGCATGGGGGGAGAAAGGATCTGAGGGGGTCAGGCTGGCATGCAGCTCAGGGCCCAAGAAGAATCACATTGATAATGATCATTTAATAGCTGAGCATGTAAATGGGAGGGAAACACTCTGTCAAATACGAGGAGCACCAAACAAAGGTCAGGCCAGAGGCAGTCAAGATAAAAGGGATTACCTCTGGGAAAGAAATGTGACCAGGGCACAGCCTCTTCCCACTGGAACCACACAGGCATAATTATCCAAAGAACATGCTAGAGATGAACAGATACTGAAAACCAGGTGTACATAGAGCTGGAGAGGCATATGGGAAGGCTGCGTTGTAATCTTCCATGGTAAATGGGAAATGAAAAGCCAATTCTTAATTGGCTAAAAGACTGGAAAGAGTTCAGGAGGAACTGAAATGCCTCAGAAATGAGGAGGCAGAAGGAACTCCTGTTTTCCATTATGGACTAGTAAAATAACCAGGGACAGCAAGACGCTTAGGTAAAGGCGCCTGCCAACAAGTCTCAGAACCTCACTTCAGTCTCTGGAACACACATGATGGAAGGAGAGGACAGACTCCTGCATCATGGCCCCTTACCTCTGCATGCATGCCCACACGCAGGCAGGTATGCCCATGTGCCTGTGAGCACACATGTGCACACAGGCATGAGCTCACACACACACACAAAGTAAATAAATAAATGTAATTTAAAACTTTACAGTTATGACTGGTACAATTTTCAATTGAGAAAAATACTGATGAGTTCTGGCAAGCCAGGTAAAGGCACAATTAAAACAACAGATAACAAGTCTATTGTTATAGTGTGGAGCTGACTTAAAAAGAGAAATGAGGTTGGGGGGGTCATAAATGGTGTGGTGGTGTGAATGAGTACAGCCCCCATAGATCAGTGTTTGAATGCTGGGTTCCCAGTTGGTTGGTGGTTTGGGGAAGACTATTACTCCTTCTAATTACTAATCCTAATCCAGCGGTTCTCAACCTGTAGGTCGAGTGCCTTTGGCAAACTTGTCTCAAAAAATGCATTTACATTATGGTTCATAATAGTAGCAAATTACAGTTATGACGTAGCTATGACAATAATTTTATGATGGGGGCGGTCATACAACATGAGGAACTAAATTGAAGGGTCACACCATTAGGAAGGTTGAGATCATGGGACTATGGGTGTGTTTGGAGGAAGTGTGGTTTTCTGGTTTCAAAAGCCCACACCAGGTCCAGTCTGTCTCTCTCTCTCTCTCTGTCTCTGTCTCTCTCTCACACACACACATACACACTCTCCAACTCATGGATAAGATGTAAGCTCTCAGCTACTGCTCAAGGGACATCCCTGCCTGCCATGATGATCATGGACTCACCCTCTGAAACTGTAAGCAAGTCCCCAATTCAACCTGTTTTGTTTTGTTTTGTTTTTAAATAAGTTGCCTTGGCCATGGTATCTCATCACAGCAATAGAACAGTAACTAAGACAAATATATTAATTCTGTATTCGATATACACTTGTCAAAACTCGCTGAATTACATATTAAATGCAGTGGCTTTTATGTAATTATATTGTTCGTTTAAAAAGAGACAATTGGATGCCACCATACACCCACTACAATGACTATGGTCAAAGAGATGGGCTGTGCACACAGTTAGCAAGGGTTAGGAGTAACTGGACCCTTGTGCTGGTTGGTTTTGGTCAACCTGATACAAAATTAGA